AAAAAAAAAAACATTTCATGCTACGTGTAATACCATCCAATCATGTAAAGACCAATATTCCTTGCAACAGTATTCTTAAATTGTGCTCACAATTTATTAATACTCGACAAAGCCTCAAGTCCCAAGTACTTGGAGCTTTGTGTTCTCTTTTCTCAGCACACAAACCTGTTTTGCAAGCTGATCGTAGTCATTCGTCACCGACCGGCCAAGGCACCTGCTAGTGGCTGCAGGTTGCATGAACGGGAAAGTTGCAGCCTTCGATTCCACTTAGGAGTGAATGGCTCAATGGGTTTGACAGCAGATTCAACCTCGGACCTAAGACTGTGAAGATGATGGAACCTTTATGCTTGTCTACCAGGGGCGGGACACAACCCCACGTCGCTGTGACCGTGACTTAGCTGCGTGCTGATCGATACCACCAACGTTGGTGGACAGCTGTGCCATCGTTGAAAAAGGATTTGCTTAGATTTCCAGGTTTCTGACATTCCTCCACACACGCATCCAAACGCATCCCCATCCTGGTATGAGATGGCTCCAATCTTTTGGTGCCACCGGATTTTACATGCCCTCCTGTCGGCTCCAAATAGTAGTGGCCGTCCACCAAATCGAGAAGAGAGAGAGAGGGAGAGAGGGAAGAGAGGGAGAGAGAGAGAGATTCGCATGTTGGGTGAGCCAGTGAGTGAAAGATTGTCTTTGAACCTGGAGTGTCATATCTTTGGCCAGTTTCATTCTTTCCGCTGTTTGTTTGGCAGCTGGTTCTACTCATGGACGGACAATGAGGTGCAAGATAGCAAAGCAACCAGACATAGTGATACTAGATGCTGCGCCGCGAATGGACGGAAAAAAAATAAATCACGGCATGACAAACACACAGCAAGGGACGCTTCCATTTCCACTAGCTCTCAACCACCTTTGAGTGACACATCATTGACCACCTTCCTTGTCCGGAGCTGCTGGCCGCGCCAGCCTGTCACTCGGCTTGCAGATGGAAGCAACAGTGTGGCTTTCTCATCCTGTCCTGTCCGCGAAGCCTATTAACGTGTTCTGCCGCCTGATTCTGGAGGAAAGGGAGCCGCCGGCAAACTTCCCACTAAACAGCTCATTTTGTGCTGCAGCACCCATGTGACTTCGTGACTTCGACTTTCCATTGGAGTTGCAAAGCACAGATCTCAGACTAGCCTCTCGACAGCAGACTGATCGGGTCTACTGTGATCAGGTCTAGCCGGCCTATATGGAGGCAGAGAATGAGCTTGTTGGTTGTGGTGCTTGAAATATGGTTTGATGCCATCCCGTGAGACAGAGTTTGAGTTCCCCCTCAGAATGCAGGCAACAACAGGAATCCTGGGAGCATCTCAAGAGACAAGCGCAACCCCAATACTTGGCAACGTTTGTGGATACTTTCGGTGGTATGTCAGATGGCGCTCTTTTCAAAACGGTAAAATCCTGTGTCTCATTTTGACCAAGGAATGCACCCATCTACAGCCATGCTTTGGAAACCAGAAAAAGACAACTCCCAAAGCAAACCAATGCAAACATGCGTACAACATCGTGAAGCTTTGTTGCTCCCTCGCCTACATGTTGGTAGGAGAAGGAGCCGAATGAGCCCGCCGCAAGAGACTGAGCTAGTTTTGCGGGTAAATCGCTACACACACCAAACGTTGCGTTCGGTGTATAGGGTCGGGTACATGGCTATGGGTGCTATAGGATGCGATAGTAGGGCAAACCCAGCAGTTTGGAGCAAGCTTCCTTTGGCAACCACTGTGCTGGGGCTACAAGTATTCGTTTAGCAGTCACATGGGTGCGTAGAAGTTGGGCAATGAGCTAAAGTAGTGAATTGGTCACCTCTTCTCACATGGCCGCACACGCACGAGCAAATGGACACACAGCGGTGGTTTGCTGAAGACATCGCCCGGGGAACCCTCGACAGAGTTTTGGCTCATCAAGAGAACTTCTCCCTGGTGAATCTAGCACAGGCCGCTGCTAGTGAGACGGAGTCTGGTCTGGGAAGGCAGGAGTTAGTTGATCATAGGTATTTACATATCCAGGAAAACGCGATCTTGAAGGGTCCATGTCTCGGAGGGGTGCGTTATAGCGCCGGACCACACAGCTTCCAAGAAGACTAGCTGATCCTGCGCAGGATTAAACCTTTTCTCATTTTGCTGGGAATTGATTAAACACAAAGGAAACATAGTGAGCCATATCCGGCATGTCCAGTTCGTTGAGACGCAGAACTGACAATTTCGGTAGAGACTTGAGCGGCTCAAGACATCCTCTCTCAGGTCCTAAGGTGCTGTTGGAATCTGTTGGATCTTGTTGAGCCCACCATTGCAGGCTCCCTTCAGAACGATTGTGGACTAAACGGGCCGATTATAATGAACTCCCCATCCCATGCAGAAACTGCACAAGCCTACTGGAATGCCAAATCAGAGTCAGGGAGCCTCAAACCAAGGGTGTAAACACAAGGGACCTTATCTAAGCGAGCCAACTGGCGGCCACCCCAGACAAATTCAAAGGCCAACGTCCATGCAAACCATAGCCCAGAAATCTCTGTTCTGAGAGTATGTGTAAAATCTCCGGTGCGCTTGAAAATAAGACATCGTTTAGTAGAATCTTAGGAGAGGTTTCCATGCCTTGATTCCAGTAATACCAGTAATGAAGAGGCGGGCAATTCTGCAATGCTGAATGCGCATGGACTCGCCCAACACAGGCTCAACATGGCCGCCGAGACCCCCGCCACTGAGACTTTGAAGATCAGTGAAGCTTGGCCTTAGACACATCGACAGCCGCTACACAGGTCTCTCTGAAGAAGCTCCAACCAGGACCCTGTCAACATTGGAACAAATATGAACCATGCCGAGCTATTTGCCGGCTTTTGTGTCCAGCATCAAGTTTCTTGTGGTATATTACGACCGTTTCACAAGGCCCGTGAGCCAAACCCAGGATGGAACCACCATGCAGATCGCCCGATTGCCCGATATCGATGAGGGCACTTGGGCAGAGGTGAAAGCGTATGTGGAAAGCCGCTGGGCCTGAAATCATGTCAAGTCGGGATCACGAGGGTGGCTTTGATAAGTTGTCCATAATAAGCCTGTATTTGAAGGTGATGAATTGATTTTCTGAGTTTATCCAACTCATCTTCAGACCTTTCAAATCTAGTGAACACCTCTCTCAACACCCTCCCTGGATCACCCCTCAACCCTGCTCAACTTCAAAGCATCGGAAAACCATGACAGGCCCTGGGGGGTTGCCCTTTGCCAAGTACCTGCAGCTTTGGCACCCACAACATCCCACAACCATCATCCATGGATCAGCTCTCTCACCGCTACGAGACATTGATCCCGATGGATCCCCAATCTCCTGCCCTCCTGTTTGAGCGAACGAGGCAACCCCGAGACTGCGAAGGCCTTGCAGGGCTTCGCCAAGAACCCCGAGGCCATGCGAGGCTGGTGACTTACCGAGAGCTTGCGAGGGCACTGACGGCTGTTCTTGATGATGGGTCTAAGGAGCATGAGTAGAATGATGTGGAATGGGAAATGGTCCACGTCCACCATTGGAGAAAAAAATCTGATAAAACCCACGAACCCGAATGCAATCACTTTGTATAGAAGCGTAGCAATTAAAACGTTTTTGTTTTCGGAGATGACTCGCAGAGTCATCAACTAAAGCAGCGCCAGCACCTCCCCAGCCCTGCGGACACTCTTGCTTGACATTCTTGCTGGACACTCTTGACACGACACTCTTTGCTAGACAATCTTTCTTGACACTTTCTCTTGACACTTTCTCTTGACACTCTTGCTTGACACTCTTGCTGGACACTCTTGCTTGACACTCTGCTAGACACTCTTGCTGGACACTCTTGCTTGACACTCTCTCTTGACATTCTTTGCTAGACAATCTTTCTTGACACTCTTGCCTGATACTCTTTGCAGGACACTCTTGCTGTACACTCTTTGCTAGACATTCTTGCTGGACACTCTTGCTTGACACTCTTTCTTGACACGCTTTGCTAGACACTCAATCTTGACCCTCTTTGCTAGACACTCTTGCTTGACACTCTTGCTTGACACGTTTGCTGGGCACTCTTTGCTAGACACTCTTGCTTGACACGTTTGCTGGGCACTCTTGCTGGACACTCTTTGCTAGACATTCTTGCTAGACACTCCTGCTTGACGCTCTTTCTTGACATTCTTTGCTAGTCACTCTTTCTTGACACTCTTTGCTAGACACTCTATCTTGACACTCTTGCTTGACACGTTTGCTGGACACTCTTGCTGGACACCCTTTGTTAGACATTCTTTCTTGACACTCTTTGCTAGACAATCTTTCTTGACACTTGTTCTTGACACTCTTGCTTGACACTCTTGCTGGACACTCTTGCTTCACACTCTTGCTGGACACTCTTGACACGACACTCTTGCTTGACACTCTTTCTTGACACTCTTTGCTAGACAATCTTTCTTGACACTTTCTCCTGACACTCTTGCTTGACACTCTTGCTGGACACTCTTGCTTGACACTCTGCTAGACACTCTTTCTGGACACTCTTGCTTGACACTCTCTCTTGACACTCTTTGCTAGACAATCTTTCTTGGCTCTCTTTGCTGGACACTCTTTGCTAGACACTCTTGCTTGACACTCTTGCTTGGCACTCTTGCTGGGCACTCTTTGCTAGACACTCTTGCTTAACACTCTTGCTTGAAACTCTGCTGGACACTCTTGCTGGACACTCTTTGCTAGACACTCTTGCTGGGCAGGACACTCTGCTAGACACTCTTGCTGGACACTCTTGAAATGACATTCTGCTAGACACTCTTGCTAGACACTCTTTCTTGACACTCTGTGCTAGACATTTTGCTAGACACTCTTGCTAGACATTCTTGCTTGACACTCTTCTCTGCTAGACACTCAAGTCTCCAAAACGAGCGTTTCGTACAAGACTTCCTCCAAAAGTCACACGTCATGTCTCCAAAACGAGCGTTTCGTACGAGACTTCCTCCAAGAGTCACACGTCATGGCTCCAAAACGAGCGTTTCGTACGAGACTTCCTCCCAAAGTCAAGCGGAAACACCCATCGGAGCACACCCATCGCGCAGCCCTGCCAAGCAGTTTCCCCATTCCAGCCCCTCCAAACAACACCCGCTCACACGCCAATCCCAATGTCACAGCGACATTCACCTCTACCACAACTCACAACCTCACGATTCCCTGCCTGCATGCCACGAATCTTTCCGCGTCCACACGTCTAACGCGCACAAAGTACTGCGCCTGCCACGAAATGTCACCTCCGTCACACATCGCAACCTCACGATTCCCTGCGCCTGCCACGAAAATCGCACTTCCACACCTCAAAACCCGCACAAAGTACTGCGCCTGCCACGAAAAGTGACAATATCATCTCATGTGAGCCTCAACAAAATTTGCACCACACCACACGTTTAGAATGATTTCGGCCCGTTCTGAACACACTCCCATCCACCAGAATCACCATTTCAGCTGAGACTTGTCGCGAAAACAGCGCTTGCCACACCCTGAAACGCAAACCCCCACCCCAAAAACACCACTCTCCAAACGCTAATCCCAATGGAACTGCGCAGAAAACAGCGGATCTTACGAAACCCTGCGCCTGTGCAGCGAAATCCATCACGTTTCTTGCGCGACATGTCATTTTCGTGCAAATCACAATGTAATCGCGGTGCAAACTGACACGTGCCACATCCATGAAAAGTCACTATAAGTCACGTGCAAAAGCTTCCCCCAATGTCAGGGCCATAGAGACATCATACGGACGGTGGCGGACGGCTGCAGACGGTTGCAAACGGTTGCGAACTCGAAAACAACGTCGGGCAAACACAGCTCTACCCTCAGACTCCCAAGTTAAACAAGAACCCTTCGCTACGCATTCGGGAAACATATATATTGTATATATACAAAAAGTTTCCATTTTAAAAACTATAGCACGTCATGGACCAACTCGTCCGAACTAATTGCTACAGTGACTGACTGCAGTGAGCGTTTCTCCACGAACGATACCCGTTCCGAATGAATAACTCCACTTCGCGGGAATAAATTTTTTCTTAAACTGCTAGCGGCTTCTCCAGTTGCTTTGTCCTAGGTTGGCTTCAGACGCAGGCGATCGCTGAGCTCTTCGATTGCACTTGATTCTGCAACATGTTGTTCATCTTCTTCTTGAGCAATACGTATCTTTGCGTGGAGTGACTCATCACCTATTGAATCCAGTGACCAACACCAAAGGTTCGAAGCAAGCCAACTGCCAGTCTAGAGTTGTTCACGCTGTGCATCAGCGTAATCCACCAGATATTGCTCACACGGACTCACATGGGAAGTCCGAGCTATTCTTGCTTTGCATCCGAGGCACTACAACACCAAGCAACTTGACTGTACGGAATGATCAGCAAGGAGGAGGGCGGCGCTCTTTCAAGAAGCTTCGGTTGGACGGTTGATCACTCCATGTTCATTCCACGCGATTCCACGGTTCAGTCATGGTTTGCGGCCAAGACGTGAGATGTTTGCTCCTAGTAGCGTCCTTGCTCCTAGATTATTGCAGGTCCTTCGTCTACATGTGGGTTTGTGTTTCTTCAACGTGTCATAACGTGTCCAGTTTTGGTAGCGTAGGGATGTTCGACTTAGGCGAAGGAAACATACCCCGAAGCATACCCTCCGAAAATGGTGCTTTATCTGTGTTTGATTAAGAAGGGAAGTAGAGCAGTGGGCATGCATTTGGTGTGATGTCCCACCAGCAGAGTGCAACAGTTTCAGAGCAGATGGCACAGATCACCTTAGGGCCCATGCAGATCACCCTCTGCCGTCTAATCTGAGACCACGGGAAGAGCTTTATGTTTTTTTGTTTGAACTGCTTTCATCAGCGGTGCAATGCATTGAGTAAATTGCACTGTATATTATATAACATATAAATATGAGTTTATATTGTGAGCCCCCTCTGGAGATTGGCTTGAGGGCCTCATTGGGTTCAACCATCCAGAAACTGCTCGAAAATAGAGGGGCACAAATATCACTTGACGAAGACGACGGTGTCAACACCGCGGCCTTGTCCGATCAAGGCTCAGCAGTGGTGATGCGCCTGTGGCCGATCGCGTGAAATCCTTGGAGTCCGATCCAGAACTGGTCCGGGGCCCCAGCATTTACTTTGACTAGGAGCAAGGGCAAGGACGCTACTAGTAGCTCCTGGCCTTACTACTAGGAGCAAGGACGCTACTAGGGGCTCCTGGCCTTACTACTAGGAACAAGAAGCTACTAGGGGCTTTTAGCATTTACTTTGACTTGCTATTTGGATATGAAGACTTGAAGGAGGTTGACAGGACTCCAGGACGCTCGGGCACTACTCAATTATATACTCTGCACTGTTCCATGGATTCACATGGAAGACTCTTGTAGTCATCGTGCGTGGAGCATCGCATAGTGTCGATGTTTTGGACGAGCTTTGCAGAGTATCCCAGGCCAGTGTGTTTGAAGACATCAAGAAGAACGGCATGGAGGCCGCAATGAAGTACTACCAGGCACGAAGGCGTCTAGTGGCAAAGCAGAAGCGAGAAGGTGCCTTTTACCGGAGAGAAGACTAGCCTATCTTCAAAAGGCAAGTGAGAAGACTTGCTCTCGACATAGACCTCCCTAGACTTGGGTTTGCACAGAAGACATGGATACCCTGATACCCTGAAGTCTGGCGTAAGCACGGTGGTTTACACAACATCACATGTTCTGCAATCCAGAAGAACTACCTTTCAATCCTGCTTTACAGAACGAACAGGCTTCAGATGACTTCAGTCGAACAAAATAAGTGGAATCAGGCGGAAATCGCCTGGGATTCACAAGTGCTTTTGTGTTCATCCACATGAGGCACCTGTGTTTCGGTTGCGACTCAGTTCGCCAACACATCAGCCGCAGGTAGAACAGTAGATCTTTAAAAAGACATATTAAAACCTTGTTGTCTTTGTTCGTTGAACACTTCGATCGTGTTAGCCGAGCCAGCAAGGTGCGTCTCACCAAGTTGTGGTGGGCTTTGTCAGGAAATCGAAGTCACACGGGTCCCACACGGGTCAAAACCGCGAAATCTGTCAAAACCAGCAGAGCCACGGTTGCAAATGCGCTTTGGGCGATCCAATGCTCCTGTTCATGTTTTGGGGGCTCACGTCTGCGCATCAATGACACACCGGCGTGAGGATGAGGAGCTGATGCTGAAGATCAGCCAAAAGCCGCCCGATTTGCCACAAAGGGGTTGGGGATTCAATCATTGTCTTTAAGAGGAAATATTTGAGTTTGGGTTCGTCCATTCTGGGGATGGGACTTACCAAAACCACCATCCCAAAAGAGAGGATTTGCTAATTGAAGAAACTCAGTATGTTTTTAAGCTGAAAATATCATCTCCGAGTCGAGGACGTGGTAATTGGCAGTTTCCTTTGTTCAAGACAGTCTGCAGGGCGGGTTCAGGTCCGTCATAACTTTCCAAGATAGATCAACCTAGAATGACTCCCTTGAAAGACTGCAGTTTTACTCTGTTCACTCAAAGGGGAAGGGAAGGGATAACAGTACTCCTTTGGTATCCCTTTCATCCTCCAGTTCCTCCATTCTCCCTGCACTCGGCGGCGCGTCGACTTCCATCTGGACAAGGATGGGTGGCCTTCCCCCAGAGCTGCAGCCGGTCTTGAAGAAGCGCCTTGGTGGTTGACCGGTGCGGACGAAGACCGGGCCATCGATCGTGCCTCTATGGATGATCGGGGTAACAGCTGAACCACGACTTGTTGGCAGACCTACAAGAAATTGTAGCAGACCTAGAACATTGTATCCATTGGCGTCCTACAAGTTCACCTCACCAAATCCCTTCGCTGTCCTTCGCTTGTATAGTCCCTTTGTTTGAGTTCTTGTTGAAAAACACAAAGGGCCACAAAGAGCATCAAGCACCTCTTGGAGGAGCTCCAGCTCTCAAATGTATCATGAACATGGGCCATGGGGGCCGCACCCTCGCGGAACATGGTTCGACAGTTGAAGCACTTCCTTTTTTTTACGTGAAAGGCCTGTTTGGAACTTGTGGGGATGGTGTGCGGTGTGGAGTTCAAAAGCTATGAAGTGAGAATCCCCAGGCTAGTCATTTGGCATCCAGGCATCCAGGCTGCGCCTGCCTGGGTCCTCTTCTCACCTGGGTCCAGGTTTCAAAAGGGCACAAGTTGATCGCACAAACAATATTACTAGTACAAAGTCTATCCCAACGTCAGGCCCTTCCTGCCAGTCCAGGCTTGTATTGTCAAGGTCAAGGTGGAAGAACTTGAATTGTGAGTTGTGAGCACAAAGCCAGGATTGATGAGACTGCATTGACTCTGCACGAGGCTGGGATTGGTGCAGAGTTGGATACCCGATTTATGTTTGGTATCATTCGTGGACAGACAACATGGATGAACATCCATCCCACAGTGTAAGAATCCTTTTCCCACAACCAAGAGCTTTGGTCCTCCACGGATACTGAAGGAATCTGAATGATACTTCAGTGGTCCTGAATCACACTTTCGTCCTTGCTGCTTTCAGGCTTCCAAGAATGGAGACCTCAAGGCCGTCCAGGCCTGGGGGTGTTTCCGCAGAAGTGGAGCTTTCATCTTGCGAGCTGTTTGAAAGAACGGCTCACGTCCTGGTTTCACCATAGAGGGTCTTTCGATCACAGCTATCATAGATGTTCTTCTCAATACGGTTATTGTTGCCTGAACATGATCTTGTTCGACCTACTTCACCGAATGTTTGAGGGTTGTGAACGTGCTCACCACCAACCCTTTTCTTGTAGAAGGTACATTAAGATCATAGGTCAGAGATTTTACCAAAATGCTGAGCTGCACTGTCTCTCCTAGATTTGGGATGTTCCCGCCCAAGACTACTGTTTTACATAGTGGAGAGCAGGCTGTGAACATGCCCGGATTGACCACACTGGTGTTGATATTCTATATAGTTGCTTGATATATAATACACGTACAGGACAAAAGTTGGTTCAACAAGCCTGTGAATACATGACCTACAACACTGTCTCCGTTAGAATCCTACAGGGGATCACAGTGAAATTCCGGCGGAGTAATTTTCATCCTGGAGTAAGTTTATAGTGTATAGTAGTACACAGTTTGGGGTGGAAATTACTCCGCCGGAAGTCCATTGGAAACGAGAAGTCATGTCAACGAGGTTCCGGGGATAAGTTACCAAACGTTCTTCCTCCTGAAGAGTAGCGGTACCTTAAATCGAATGCCTTTACAGTTGGACTTTGCCAAGCTGAAGTACACAATTGTAGCAAGCCAGTCCTGTAGACTCTAGACCCAGACAACAACCTGTCCGCCACGCACAGACAAGACAAAAGCTGCTAACAAACCTGTGAATACATGACCTACAACCCTGTCCCCTTACAATCCTACAGGGGATCACAGGAGTAATTTCCACCCGATGTGTTTTTATTGTATTGTAGCATTGTAGTTTAGTTCGGGTTGGAAATTACTCCACCGGAGTTCCATTAAGAAAGAGACGTCTTGTCAATGAGGTTCTGGAGGGAAGTTGTTACCAAACGTTTTTCTTCCTGAAGCAAGGAGTTGCTAAACAACATCAAAATGTGGTTCTTGGAGTTCTTGGATGCTCGTGGGATTTCGATGGGGTCTGGCACTGTTGAGCTTGAGGATTTCCTTGCGAAGAAGAAGCCGTTGGACTCGCAGGATCACAAGGCACCGCACCCATTGGTTCACATTTTGGTTGGGTTGACAGAGATGTTGATGGCAAGGCGGTTGGAGTATGGTTTGTTTGTCCTCTCACAGCTCTACCAGGGATCTGTTGATTACAATGTTAGAGCCATATATAGCCGTAGCAAATTAACAAGCGGGTATCCTAAACAGCGTGTTTGCTCAAAATATGGAGCAATTGAGCAGTGCCATGCAGTGCCCAAGTCGTCGAACGCCCTTCTGTCTGTATGAATATATTATATATATATACACAAGCAGAGATCATATTGATAGACTGTTTAATCCTTGCAGCAGAGCTCTGCAGTGCATAAGGTCGTGTTTTCGTAAGTAACGCCTGATATCCCTTTACATGAGCCAAAGGAGTGGGTGAAAGGACTCAAGGAAACCGCATAAGGACATTGTCCGGCGCTTGGGCCAACGCCGATGTTTCGACGCGGAAAAGCGCGTGAATTGTTCATCAAACTATGGTTCAAGTCGAATGTTGTTGGAGTCGCACCTTGTTTGAGTGACACTGGTGAAGAACACAGGATCGAAAAAACCACCACCTGAACTATATAGCCTTTAGATTTGGATTCTAGACTCTGGCCTAGTTGGCCCGTGCAGAACTTGGCACACTCCCGCAGGAAACAAACTTTGGCCTAAGAACAGGTTCAGATGTGAGTACTGAACAGTCCGACTGAGTCTTTGGCAGTTTGGATATGAGATTTCACGAAAGGTAGCCTGGTAAGGACTACCTTGAGTTTGCTTTGCGAAGCAAAGGGGCTGGCTTGAGAGCCTGCTCGGGACTAAAGATTGGTAGATCAATGTCTAAGACCCCCACCCCCCCCCCCCCCCCCCCCCCCCCTCCCATGTGATGATTTATTGATAAATCAATTCATTCGACCCCCCCTCCCCCTCCCCTCCCCTCCCCTCCACTCCACTCCCCTCCACTCCCCTTCCCGTCCCCTTCCCTCGTCGCCAGCACTACTAGCATTCTGGACACACCATCACACCATAAGGTGCAGTCATGCGCTTAGCAGTCACAGCAGCACGACGCTGGCCATGAGGTTGCGCAATACAGCACGAACCCTGCACAATGAGGTTGCGCAATGCGGCTTCGATGCCGCGCGTGCGCGCCCGGCAGCCTGACACAGCGCGTGCTGCGTTCACAGACCATATTGCTCGACACCAACGAGCATCGATGCAACACAGCCTCTCCGCAAAGCCCTGTGGAGAAACCTCTCGCTTCGCGGAACACCATTCGACTCAGCCTTATACCCTAGCGGGCGAAATCTTACCGCATCGTGGAGCACCACTACACGGCTATTTACGTGCCCTCCCATCAGCCACCCACCATGGCGTGACGTCCATCCCTGGCAGTACCGGCCGCACCCCTCCAGCACTGTCCTTGCAAGAGGGTTGGTCACTGCGGCTTCGACGCAACGCGTGCAGGCCTGTAATCCTGACACAGTGTGTGCAGCTGTGGGACCATAGCTGGTACACATGCGAGCGTTTACGCACTGCGACTTTTACGCGCGCCTGTTTTCACACACCTTTGCACAAACGAGCGTCGACGCAACGCAGCCTCTCTGCAGAGCCGTGTGGCGCAATCTGACCGCAACGGTGTTCCTCTTGAGCCTTCTTGTGCTCTCTGGCTTTGTTGCTTTCATCCATGATTGAGCGAGGGGCACGTTCCGGAAACACCGGAGACAGCCCCTCACCAGAAACGGTCCCGACAGCTACCCGGTCCGTCTCTACCTTTCGTGTTTCCCCGCTCAAGTGTTTGAATGGCTTTGTCAGGGGATCACGCCACTGGGATATGCCATTGGCGCCAACCGAATAGCTGTGGTGAAGCTGCTTCTGGACAGCCGCGCCAATCCTTATGCCGTGGACAGCTCTGGCAATAGCGACTTGGAATGAAATTGAATTGGTTTTCCTAGGCTCTCATGTCACAGTTTGCAGTGTTCATTTTGAATAAATCTGGGAGAAAGTGAGGATCAAGATGGGTCAAGCGACAGGTCACCTGTCTGAAGAATTTGAAGGTTCCTCACAAGACTCTTGAAACCTGTCCATCCTGCAATCATTGGGCACCAGGTGGCTTGCACTATGCCGCCGGCTATGGCCGCAAGGTATCCTGCAATCGTTGGGGGGCCGGCACGGCATGCGAACAGGGATGGCACAGGGAAATGAAACCATGGCGATCAATGAAACCACTTTGATACATTTTCAGGCACTGATGGGCAATGAATCATACGAGGAACCCAAGAGTTTGGTCAGTGCCGCTCCGTCAACGAGCCCCAACAAAGCAAGAGAAGCATCCAACATCAGTCTGTTCGTTTCAAAGCAAGAGCACGCAGGAGCTTTTGGAATATCTCTTGAAGGTTGGAGCCAATGCCACTTGGCCAACACTTATTTGTTGGTTTTGCTTTGTTTTTCTTCATCACGGATTATGTACCTCGTACTTTTAATGGGATGATCGCTTCTATGCATAACCACCTTGCTCAGGTCTCTCAGGCCAACTCGCAGGGCCAGACCCCCATGGCAGTCGCAACGCAGAATCAACAAGAGGCCGAGCAACCGGGCCGCTCGAGGTGGTCAGACGAAGGTCCTCTTGAATTTAAATACCGTGTGGGGGTGTGGGGGTCTCATAGAGTATGCAAGTGCAGATGAATGGGCTCAGGAGGCCCTAAACAGTTTTAGCTTCTTCTATGCAGCATGACATTCAGCCCCCACCCCATGAATGGTGTTCTGGAAGTAAGAACGGCCTCGAAAAACGCCTGGGGAGCCCAGGGGAAGAAATGCCAGATATCTCTGACATCTCAGGGGATGTATTTCAGGGAACCCTTACTTGTTTAGAATTGGTCGTTTAGTAGCAACACTCATAGCTGCAACATATCAGTGGGAGCAACCGTCACAGCATGTCAGCATGTCACAGCATTCATGCAGCTTCAAAGAGGGGATGCGGAAACTGCGAACATGCAAGCCCAATAAATGGCCACATTGTCACAGTTCATGATGGTAGCCAGCGCCACATCACCCAGCGCTTGGGAGCAGCCAAGTGGCCATGCAAACCATTGAGGCCTGCATCCAGATCTTGAAGGCTCACGGAGCACAAGCCTAGGTGCAGCCACCGCTCTGACGGGCAGCTACCGCTTGCTTGAGTAGTTGTGTAGTGACTGGATGCAACAAAAGTATATACTGTAGAGATCTTTTTGAAGCTGTTCAAAGGTTCTGAAACCCAACCTGTGAAGGATGGGGGCTCAACAAACAGCTTCTTAGAGATATGAGATATGTTTGAAGTTCTTCAAGACATGTGTCTATCCGGGTTGTTCAGGCTGATTTCTTTGGCCAGTTGCTGAATCAATGAAGCTGCAAGAGTAGAGGAACATGGGAACATCAGGGAAGCAACAGTTGAGCCTTACTTACACTTGCTGGAAGCAAACATGCCCATTAAGGAAAGAGTGGATCTGGATTCTGGATCTGTGTTTTGCGATCCGAAAGAATGGGGCGGGTGAGACATGGTGAGTCTATCCTTCACGGCTGGAAGACCGAATCTTACCTGCTGAACCTGCAAGTCCTTTGCCGGGTTGATCAGGTCTATGAGCTGCGGAGATCTCGCTGCGTGGGTTCTGAATCCGCGGTGGATGCAGCGGGACGGCGGAACATGACTCTGAGTCTCACCTTTCAAGCAGTGAGTGTGTCGAAACAAGACCAGGCAGGGACCCTTGGCCACCTTAAATAATTCATCTTCGCGTTAGAACGTCAAGTTACTACTGTACTTATATATTATATATATACACTAAAAAGTATTACATTAGACGCTGACTGACCTGCCCAATCTTCAATTACCCTATGTCTTTTAATGGCAACTGGTCTTGCGATACAGTCATTTTTTTTCAAGACCTCTCGAAAGTGTCATTTGCACCGAGAGTGGAAGACGTGGATGTCCTTTAGACAACACCAACTACGAAGAACGCCAAGCATGCTGTTTCTAGTGAAAAGGAGCACATTTGCTTGCAGGTTGTCGGGGGAAGGACAGGATAGGATCCATCACTTATCACGTGGTGCTCCACACTCCCTTTGACATGCTTCTACTAACAATAGAAATTCTGCAAACGATTGGGATTATGTAATTTGATTGCTCTATTGCCAGGTCATATTCTAACTCGCACTGTCATGATTGTAAACATCATTTGTGGCTGTACAGAGAGCACAGGATCCAATTACCATAATGGTTGGGGAGGTTTTGACGTCTTTGTAACCTAGCTTGATGTCATGAATCATGCTGCAGGCCTGGTTCAAAAACCAGACCCTCATTCGGTCAGAGAAGCAAGTATCCTGGCACCTGCCAGTTGTTACCGGTCCTTTGTATTTGTTTCATATGCCTTCTGCGTCGTGATACAAGTTTAGTTTTGCACAGTGCCTGCCTGTGAAAGTAATTCTACTGAACACAGGACTTGCCAGTATTTACTGTGGAAGTTGACTCTTGTGTGGAGACACTCCCCATACAGAATATGTTGGTACACAAATTCTGCACTGAAGGCTGGTGAATCTGCGGCAGCAAACTCAGTCCTTTTTCCAGAAACTGACGTTGCCACACACAAGTACATTGGTCCTTTGCGTTACAATTGGTGGCTATTCACAGGCACAATTTGTAGTGTGGTTAGGACTCTGCCTTTTGGCAATGCTGGAGTTGTGGGGAATATAATATAGCGATGTTTAAATCATGGAACAGGGAGAATTTGATGGGTTTTTGTGTTTTTAAGCGAAGTGTTTGGACCCCAAATCCCTTTTTCCCAATTGGAACTCTTTTCATGCCATGCATTTGACTAAGGAGGAGAAAGCAAAGGCTGCACCCAAAGCTGAAGCAAAGGCCAAGCCTGAAGCAAAAGCAAAAGCAAAAGCAGCTGCAAATAAAAGCCAGCGCCATAGACCAGCTATGGTGAAGGTACGATTTGCTCGAGGACAGATTTGCATTGTACTCTTGGCATGAACGTTCTGAATGGTAGATCGTGTTACCGTGTTTCACAACCAGAAAGACTTCTCCACAAGACCAATCGCAGAGGATGCGCTTCTTTAAATCAGGTTTGTATGCCATCTCTCCTCAGGTCCAGAAGCCATCGAAAGAGATGAGCGTCCGAGTCTAAGGTGACCCTAGTGGAAGGTCCAGGCTCCGATCAAAGTCAAAAAGAAACAGAACTTCACCATCTTCACCTGGGTGTTTGCTTTTGACAAGATCTATATTTCTATAGACATATGTAGTGAGTAACTCTCATGATGGAAGAGAGATCGATGGACCTCCAAGGGTTGTCGTGCCCCATGAGCTTCTGCCTGCACTCCGGCTTCAGAGGCCTAGAAGCGAATTTCAAGAAGTATGAGCACCTTACAGATGAGGAGCTCAAAGAGGACTGGTTACGGTTAGAGACAACTCAAGCAGATCCGAATGTCCTGTTGAAAAAAGAACATCAAAACACCAAGCACATGTAGTTAGCCATTGTTCATTGCTTCAGAACTAAGAGAAGGGACATGTTTGAATGAATGCCACCAAGACGTGTTTGAGCTGTCAAGACAAGCACAGCTTCTCCCTCAAGTAAGGGTCGCGCAATCCCCGAACGGGGCTGATCGACGCCTGCGCCAGACCCTGCCGAAGAAGGCCGATGGGGGCTTTACTTCCATAGGCCGATGGGAGAAATCGATTTGATCGATTAGAGGGATGATCGATTAAGCAACCAAAAACTCGATGAGTCTCAATGAGCCTTAGCATTTGGTGTAAGTTCACATGCGTGTTTCTTTTGTTTGCTGTCACAAGCTTATCCTCCGGCAGGGCCATTGGGCGGAAGTTTCAACAAATTGACAAAGTGTGACTGATGGCTCCTGATGCTGTGATTTCTTTGTGTGAAATGTGTTGCAGCTGTTTGTTCATGTATTGAAGTGTACTGTAATGTGATATGGATGATTCATGAATGAAAGAGTGGGTGAGTAAGTGACAGACAGTTCTGAGCCCACAGCAGCCAAAAGCATCCCAAAGCTACTCCGCATACTACATGATTACTGTAGCTACAATTGCATTACAAGGAAGCTGCCAGAAGCTGTTGCCGTGCACGAAACTTGTACTGAGCAGTTGCCAGTTCTGAGCCTGGAGCTGCCAAAAGCTACTTCGCATGCTACATTTGCACTACCAAATCGTCAGTGCTGAACCCAGAGCTACAACAGGCTACTGAGCGCACTACTTTTGTACCACGCAGTCACCAGTTCTGAGCCCGGAGCTGCCAGCAGATACTTCGTGTCGGGGACCATTCTCGGTCTCCTACATTTGTAACAAATTTGCCGGTTCTCAGCCCCAAGCTGCACTTCGTGCACTGCACTTGCACCAAGTTGCCAAGTCTTCCTTGCGCAGCCCTGCCAGTGCAGCTACGATCCAAAGCTGCCTCGCGCAGCACCCATCGCTTGTTTGAGACTACCAGTGTTTGATACTACCCTTCGTGCTCTTTCCTTTATCGCGCAGACGAACACGTGCACGCTCACAGCAAATGTTCGTAGTTCGGAAGAGTCTTTTCAAAGCTTCCTTTGACTGCCGAAATGCAGTGCGCCTGGGGTGGAACACCTGTACTCTTTTGTGGTTCTGGGGTTCACCAGGCCAGATTGACGGTCAAACTTACATTCCCAGCAAAATTTGGGTAAAACAAATGCCTTAAGCTTGACCTTGACATTGGAATGTTGAACTGTTCCAAACCATAGCAAACCGCAAGAGATCCACAAGGGAGATCTTGAATGAGCCCTGTGGCAGCTGCAGTGGCCGTGCCCACAAATAATTTGCACTGGTCGTAGTTCATGTTCGACAGAAGACCCCGAAAGTGCTGTTCTGCGAGAGTTCTCTAGGAAGCATTGCAACAGGTGCCATGCTGCATGCCAGCGGACTTTGCCAATGCCTGAAGCGCGTTGAAGATCGGAATGGACATACTCACTGTGCTGGGTGCAAGAGTTAAGCTCCCCCACATGTTGGCCTTCTGAGACTTCTTCCACGTTATGGTTACCTCAAAAGGACCTTGAAAGGACCTTTGTGTCAAGAGAGGTGACAATAGGTGAAAGGACCTTGATCTCAAGTTCACATAGTTACTCCAAAACTAAGTGACTTTGATTGGCATGGGCCTTTGTTGAGTTGTTTGCTCTTTTAACATCCTGAAAGAAACCCTTCAGTTGTCGGACAAATGGACGGTCATTCTCTGACAGTACCACAGTTTGTCCCAATACCAAGGTTGAAAATTCCAAAGAAGACCAAGCTGCTTTTCCATGCAACCGAACATGTCGAGAATAGGGATTTGCGAGGTCGACACGTTTCTTTGTTGACCGAGGTGCCACTTGCATTTTTCATCATTCGCCCAAAGGCTGCTACAATGCCATCAAGTGTAGGCATCTCGTGAGACCACGCGCGTGTTGGTTGTTTTTCGGTATCACAAATAATGGTCTCTTAGAGGTTTGCAAGGGAGCCAGGGAGCCATAGGAAGCGTACGTAGAAAATGTCCAGTGCTTGGTGGTTCACTCAATGGCAGGGCTGGGAAAGTCCGGACACCCGAAAGCAACCCTCAAGGTACTAGGCAAGGGTCCCAACATTTTGCATCCAGGTCATCCAAGCACATACTATGAGGTGCATTGGTTAGTTAGGAGATGTTAGGAGCATGAATGCTTGTGCGCAAGGAACATGTTTTTCTTGAAGGACTTGCATGGATCATGCGAATGCATCACACCTGATGCATCCAATATACACAAAGCTATTTCAGTGACATCAGCGCTCAGCCCGCCGACGTGCCAGGTTCTGCCATCACGACCACACAAAGCCCAGCAGAGTCAAAGCCCCACCTTGCGACCTGAGAACCAACCAACCTAGAAGCGATGGCCTCCAACCTACTAGCGATGGCCTCCAACACAAGGGACAGGTCAGACAATTGGTGCTTTGGAAGTTCTCCAGCGGCCTTAGTGGTAAGTCACCCAGACCTGGTTACTTTTCAGCTGGTTGGTGAGAAGCAGGGCCACTTGCCCATCATATTTGGTCAAATATGGCGAGGCAAACGACATGCAGAACAAGACTGAGGTCAATCACTATCGGAACCTCTTGGTTTGTGTGGAGATTTGTCAGAGCCTGTATATATACATATATGTTATATGTTATCATATAATATATATATATATGTATAATGTCATTATATTTCCAATGAGTACAATTACAATGTGAGGACTCAGAGTCAGGCTTAGAAACAAGCTGCTGGAATCACATTGCTGAGCACAAAGGCGAAAAGTAGAAAGAAGAAGAAGACCGAAGATGATGGTCCACTGGCTCAGTCACATCATGTTATCCTTTTGCTTTATCCAGGTGCATGGCCGGCATGGGTTTGACATGTGCAAGTTTACTGTACTTTGCTTCACCTGGCCCGCAAAGCGCCTATGGCCCCCATTCTTTGTTCTTGGATCAGACTATTATTTCCATCGCAACACAGGATTCCATTTCGTATGGTAAAAGATAGTGTTTCGTGGCCAGGGGCAAAACACTGGTGCACACACGGTGTTTCACATCTACGAAATGTTTCTTTTCGAGTAACCACAATTGCCGGCCATAGTTGCAAATGTTATAAAGCATGGTCTTGGGACCTTTGACATCTAACGACGATGTCCATTTAACCGAGGAGGTTAGATGGTGACATTCAGTTTCAAATTCGAGGGATGTTATGGGGTTGTCAAA